AACAATGAATCATGGAACACTGCATCTAGAACTAATGATGTAATGTATGGGGATTAACATAAGAATAAAAAAAAATGCATGAAAAAAAAATCTCAAATACAGCATAAAGTTAAGATATAAAGAAGTAGCGTAGTGGGTGTATGAATTTGGGAGGGATGGAATAATTTTCATTAAAAGACGTGACTGATACGAATAGTTAGGGGGCAAGATCAGGATGAATCTTGCGGCAAAGCCATGGTGGCAGCCTGTTTGACCAACAGGAGAGCATAGCGGGAGGGTGTCTGGTGAGGGGACGATCTGTATTTGGTTAAGAAGTGGGTGGGTATCTTTAAGGGAGTATACCTCAAGAGAAAAATAATGTATCCCTTACTATGATTAGAGATGGAAGCTGAAAATGTGATAGATGTCAATAAGCTATGACGGAGCAAATAATCAAAGGAAATCAGGACAAAGTTGTTGAAGTATGATGTTAAAGTTCGCTCAGAAATTAAGGTATCATGTTAGAACTGGCTGGAAGAGAGAGAAACTATTGAGGCATGTATTTAAAAAGAGAGAGAAGAAAAACGTAGAGAAGAACTGAGGCTGAAATCTAAGTAAGAGGAGGCTCGGTGCAGAGCATGCAGTCTTGCAAAATGGTGAACAAGGAAGGGCATTAAAAGGGCATTAAAGGGCATTAAAGGCCAGGATGGGGAACACTGAGAGATAATCGGAATTGGAAGTTCAGTGAAAAGTTGTATGTTAAGCCAGATATCAGTCAACCAGCTGAGGAAAGAGGTCAGGATGTGGCTTAAATAAGAATTGGAATATGATGTGTTGCTGCCCAGAAAGCCTTGTTGGAAAAGGATTGGAAGCAATTGGTATAGTCAAGAGAATGAGAAGCTAGAGAGAGATTAAACGGGATGGACTTAAAATGGGCCAGAGAGGGGATCTTCGAAAAGTCCAGACTGATGGAAGGTGGAAACAGACTCAGTATAGAGTACAGGAAAGAAGGAAGATCCGAGAAGGGTGAATTGTGAGTGCTGGCTATTAAAACTGTACACATCCAGAGGAGTTGATTAGGTTCACTGGAATGATCCAGCTGAAAGAAGAAGGAATGACGGAGGAAATGTAGGGCGTTTGCAGCAGCAGGAGAAAGGGAACATGGAGAAAAGGAACAGAAGAGCAATGTTCAGGTTGCCTGCAGATGGAACACTGTTATTTGAAAAGTCCTGCTGATGGGAGGAATGGCTGTTACTCCACACGTGGGCCAAAGGTCATGATAGAATACAAAGGAAAAGAGGACGGCAGGTGAGTACAGAGGCACTGCAGGAATTGAGAAAGCAGCTGAGTAAAGGGCATGGCAACAAGACATCACAGGTATGAATGAAAAAAACAGAGCAGCTCTCATATCTCAGAACTGGGTCTGGAATGGGAGAGGCTCCAGGGCCTGAAGCAGAGTAGGAGCTGGGTAGGCTGGCTCTTGAAGTCTTAGCTTATTTATGACTGACTGATTGCTTCCTAGGAAAGGTTAGAAGGAGATGGACTAAGATACAAAGCCATTGGTGGAAACCTTAAAAACATCACCACTGACTTTAGAAGGTGTGGACTGAATACTTTTTCGGTAGAACAGATGAACGCTTGTGGGGTGAGGGGAGTGGTTGGGGTTCATGATGAATGCTTAAGATCTGGCAGGGCAGATACTCAAAAGAAATAAGTGATGCCTGTAAGTGATGTTAAATTTGCCGAGAAGTTAAGGAATCGTGTGAGGACTGGCTGAAAGTGAGAGAAGCAACTGGAAAGACTAGTATAAAAGAAGAGGAAAGAGGAAGGGAGAGAAGATACTGGTTGGAGGGGAGGTATGAATTAGGCTGGGTTTGGGACAGGCAGGGTTCAAAATGGCAACTGCTATGGAGACCAGAATGAGGGACGCAGGTATCACCCACCAGCTAACTACACACATTTGGTACCCTGAAAAGTTTTTACCTCTATATCCCCATGTGCTTGGGAAACTGCAGTGAGTCAGCATTCTTGTTTGCACACAAGGCTGTTCAGGATAGTGTATGTTTGCTGTGGTTGAAGCTCTTCTGCCAAGA